CCACAGTGGTTATTTCAAAACTATAAAGAAAAAATTAGTCAATCACTGGATTTAACAAAAACTGCAGTATATAAAACAGGGAGCTGTTATTGTATAGAACACAATAACAACTTCCAAACATTGTTATATGAGTGGCCTTTTCATAGCTGTTTGAAAAATTGTCATAAGTACTGTTAACTTTTCTCTGAGGCAAAATCCCATTATAGATCTGAGTAAGAAATTAATGAAGAAAAATTCATTTTAAAGAGAACATAATTCTAACAAGGATGGCTCACATATTTGCAGAGTTCTGTTAAACATACCAGTCATTAATCTTTAACTCTTCAAATATGTAGAAAAGATATATAATTGTTGGGAACCATCCTGCCTGGTTTCAGGGACTGTAGCCTCACTGACAGGTGAGAGGGCCCCAAGGCTGGAGCTGAGCAAGGAGGCCTTGGGAAAATAGGCCACTGAGGAGACAAAACCTGTCCCCCTGGCAGGGGTGCAGCCCCTGCCTCCCTCACAGCACCTTGCTTGGCCCTGGAGGATGGCTGGTTAGTCAATGACAGGTAAGACTCCTCGATGGCAGGGGCAACTTAAGACAGACACAGTCACATGGGGGCCATCAGGGAAGGACTTGGGGGACATAAGGACTTGGGAAGGCAAAAGACTCTCACCCCTCGGCTTTGTCATGGCTGGAGTCCTCATTCTATCTGAAAGAAGTCTCCTTATCTCTTGGCTGCTCTGCCCGCCACCTAACTGGGCCAGTGAAACAATACTAAAGGCCAGGTACAGCCCTAAACTAGAATAGGCGGTCCCTGGGGACAATTAGGCCTGGAAATGGAATGCATTAAATCCTATGAAACTTACTTTGTTAAGAATGCCCTGAAGTACTGATGTTTGTGGTCAAGCATAGAATGTGATCAGTTTCCCAGGTTTCAGGGCCAAATGGGTGCCACCCTGCCTACCAGACCCTGACCTGAGGCAAATCTCTGTGTTCCTTCAATCATAGCCTTTTGATATTGATTGATGAGCTTTGCATGCATGCTGCATATCATTCTCAATAAAAGCCACTTCAAGAGAAGGGCTCAGGGCATTCTTCACTAGAGGGAATCACCACCTACTTTCCCTGGCAGACGGAGAGTGTCTGGAATGACTTATTTTCACCATCCACGGCAACCCAGGGGGACTTCACGGGAGGGGGTACCCCCCATCATCAGGTGCCCAAACAGAGACCCCACATATAATAGTATGAGCAAGTAGAATTTTCAAATTTTCATAAAGTTATACAAGTACTCCTTGGCCTAGAGCAGCAATTTTTTTTTTTGGTCTTTTTTTTTTAAGTACTGACATTATTTTATTTAATCCAAATTTATCAGATATTATTTTTATCATCTCCATTTTTTAGTTGGAGAAAGCAAAGCAAGAGAGGTTGATTTGACCAACATGATACAGTTAATGACAGAGTAGGGATTCTTAATACAGGTTTGTCTGAATTCCTGCGTCGTATTCTTCCCTAGTCCACATCATATTGCTTACCTAAATCTAGTCTCTCCTTATCCAATTCTTTGAAAGGAGATTGGTACAGTGGCAGAGTTAGACATTGTTCTTTGAATGTTACTCGTGTTGAAGCCAATTGATAAGGTTTTCTTTGTGGTGTTTTAAATAGGTTTGGTTCATAACTGCTGATTTTATATTCAGATTCTTCTGCAGTTTCAGAATTATATGGTTCAGCTTCTGAAGAAACTTCTTCAAACCAAGTAATGCTTATTGATCCTAACTCTTCTTGGTTACATTGCATCTTAAACATTTCAAAAAAAAAAGTTGGCCTCTCTTTCCATCCAGTAGGCATTTTTCTCTACAATACTATTCTCACACTTGGAAAATGAGTCACCTCCACAGATACTGCTCTTCGGGACCCACAGGACCTTCCAGGGCCATCCCTCCACCCTCACACACCAGGCCTAGAGCAGCAATTTTCAACCAGTGTGGTAATGCATGTTTTAAGAATTCTTGCACCACAGCAGCTGAAAATCACTGGCCTAGATATTAAAACTCCTATTCTAAAATTAGACTTGAAAAGTGTTCACAAAGTCATAAGTGTTGGTGATTCTTTCAATAGATTTTGTATGGTCAAACAACCATAACAGCCGCATCAGTGATAGACCCAGTGCTTTTACGAATCAGTCCTCATCTAATTAGCACTTCAGGTTCTGACTAGGGCCTCTGATTTTGTAATAACTTTGCTGCTTTGTCTTGAGAGAAAATATGACCTGCCTAACAGACAAGTGTTCCAGTTCTAATCAGGATCTTGCTTCTTTTGCTTTAGGAACAAAAAGGTGTATTACAGTATAAAATCCATTTTTGTACCTAGATGTATGGATGGGAGCATTTGGGATTATGAAATTGGTTAACCGTAAAAGGAAATAGCAACACCTCTCAGAGGGAGAAGATAGAAGAGTGGGAAAGATTTGGAACAATAAATACGAGGAATAGGATGGACAGTTATCAAGAGGTGACTGAAAGAATTTGAGAATGTGGAAGAAGTACCAAGAACACCAAGATAATAGCTCTGAGCACAATTCTTAGCCTAGGAGAAGAGACAGGGAAATTAAAGACTATAGAAAATCAGGGAGCAGGGGAGAATGTGGCCATGAATTCATAGTTGAAATGATAGACTGTGGGTTCTACACTGCAAGGAGAAAATAAAAGCTCAAAGGGCTAAATATATAACTAATCAGGTTTTTAAAATTAATAACTACTACTTTTTTAATACCTATATTCATGTATTTATCGCAGAATAATACTGTATATTGTTGGTGTTTTGCAAATGTGAGACTCTTGCCCTTTTAAATGAAACAGGTCCTGACTGGTATGGCTCAGTGGGTTGATTGTCATCCCACAAACTGAAAGTTCACCAGTTCGATTCCCAGTCAGGGTACATTCCTGGGTTGCAGACCAGGTAACTCATTGCTATTTCCGTCACTGTCTCTTCCACCCCCCGCCATGCCCCTCTCCCTAAAAATAAGTAAAATCTTTTGTAAAAGAAAGTAAGTAACAAGATCTTTTTCAAGAAATGTCTTTCTTTTGACAGGTTGAGTGAGATGGTAGAATTGATTGAGTTCCAGTATTTTGGGGGGAAAGACTTTTCAGTCTAAAAGTTATCTGAAACTGACTGAAATTTGTTTCTATCATTGTTCTTCCTCCAAATGTTTGTCTCTCCATAATTATATTCAATCAAAAATTGTTATTTATAAAGACAACCTTTGTATGATCATTGAAACACATTCTACAGCCATGCAGTGCATATCAACATCTCAGTCAATGGTGGACCACATATACAACAGTTGTTCCATAAGGCTATAATGGAGCTGAAAAATTCCCATTGCCTACTTGTTGTAACCATCATAATGTTGTAATGCAATGCATTACTCACATGTTTGTGGTGATGTTGGTGTAAACACACTCCGCTTCCAGTTGTATAATAGTATAGCACATACAATTATATACAGTATAATACTTGATAATGACAAAACAGTATGTTACTGGTTTATGTATTTACTATACTCTTTTATCATTTAAAGCGTATTCTTTATACTTATAAAGAAATAGTAATGCCATGTTACACTCTCAGCAGCCTCATTCATCTTATGTTTACTGTGTCTCTTACTTTAATCATTTTCTCTTGTGCTTGATATAATCTCATGTTGTTTTGTTCCTAAGCATACAAAATCCACTTGCTAATGTTGCCAGTAAGAGATCATGTCCAGTGATTGACGTGGAAATGAAATTAAAAGTGATGAAGGACTACGAGGGTGGAAAATCAGCGATGGTTATTGTCTGGCAGTCAGGCATGTCTCATTCCACTATAGCTGTGATCTTAACAAAAACGAAGTGATGGAAGCTGTTAAAGTATCTGCTTCATTGAAGACAAAGAGACTAACAAAAAGTCAAGAAGGGCCTATGTCGGGCAGAGAGAAACTTGTAATGACATGGATTGGAGAGCAGACACAGAAGCTATCCCTCTCAAGTACTGTAATGATCATGACCAAAGCAAAAAGTTTGTGATGTTGAAAGAAAAGGCTGGACCCTACTGCAGTGTTGAATTTACCACTAGATCTGGGTGATTTAAACAACTCAAGAATCGTTATTCATTACATAATGTGAAAATGAATGCTAAGTCTGCAAGTATTGATATGAGCAGCTGGATAATTGGGGGACATCTCAGAATTTTTCTCTAGTCATGTATAATTGGGTATATGTGGACATTTCATGGAGAACTGACATCTAGGTGGACTCTTTTGCTTATTGTACAAAAGTATTTCCATTGGTAAACTATGTATTTCCCCTGAGATTAATAAGAGACATTTAAGACATTTGTAGAATTTAGACAGAAAACTGTGCAAGGGCCTACACTGACGTCTCCTTATCTGGGGCTAAGGCTGAAAGATCATAGCAGTAATGACTGACAATTGCTCAATAGTAGCAGCAAGACATGCTCCAGTCAGCTGAGGCTAGGTTCCTTAAAGTCTTAGTGTCAAAGAAATGCACTAAAAAGTTTACTTACAAATCCAGGGCCCTGCCTCAAAACAGGAGATTGGTGGGAAAAGATTGTTCTGAAATCATGGCCACTGACAAGAGCAATACATACAAACTTGATTCATATGTAAGCAGCTAGCTGTCTTCGTGCAATTCCAGGAGACTAGAAAATGACTGGAAATGAATCAGCTTCTTCCTTCATCTTGTAAATCAGTATTCTTGTAGTTGAGGGTCCAGTCAATGTTGATTTCCACAGAAAATATATCAGTGCTTTCCATATTCTTGAAAGGTAGGCACAGGCACGGTTGTTCTATTATATGTCAATCAAAAGGAACATTCCCAAGTATTTTTGAATAATTATCCGAAGTATGTCCAGTACTTTGGAAGATAAAGAATTATGAGATAGTCTTTATTCTTAAAGACCTTCACCTATTTCTCATTTTATGTTGATGTTTTGTGTTGTTTGTTTGTCTTTAAAGGATAGTGAAGAATCACAGAATGCGCCTGGCGATCCTGTTGGAGATGACTACAAAAAGATGGGAACGCTTTTTGGTGAATTGAACAAAGGCCTCATCAACATGGGCTTTACTAGGATGTATTTTGGAGAACGAATTGTGGAACCAGTGGTGGTCATTTTCTTTTGGGTTATGCTGTGGTTCCTTGGCCTACAAGCCCTTGGACTAGTTGCTGTTCTTTGCCTTGTCATTATTTATGTACAACATTAAAATATGGCTGAATGAGCTATTGGTTAACATTTAGTTGCCATATATATAATGAGTAAAGTTATATATTTTACTACATGAAAGCCAAAAAGTTTGCCTTGTTTCAAATTGTGTGCTGTTTTGTAATATAAGTGAATGTTGTTTAAAATAAAACTCAACTCTTGATTATAACAGGGTTCAATATACATTTTGTAGCTTATTCAAAACTTGTTTTAATATTATAAGCTGTGCCCATGTTTAAATACTGCTATTCCCATGCCAAATCTTAAATAACACCACCAAGTGAGCAGGGAAAATAACAGGATATGGAATTCAAACTGGGCAATATAGGTCTTATAAAGTGAGATATTTCCAGAGAAAAACAATGAAACAATGAGCTAAAATGTTTTACTTGGGGAATTTCTCTCCACCCATCCCCATCAAATAACTCCACATTATTTGGGAAAAAATTTGGATTCCTATTGTCCCTGCTCAGCCCAAAGGAATGTAAATGATAATTACTGTACACTATCTTACTATTTTGATGAAAATCAGTAAACCTAACACATCTTCTAAAGATTGAAAATAATACATTTATTATTGCTTGGGACACTTCCCAAGTTAAATATAACTTTTTTAATAATGAAATGCTTGGGCCTGGAATCATTTTAGTGTATCATTTAATGTTTTATATAATTTCGGTGCTAATTATTTTTTGTGAATTTTTAAAGTCTCATAAACCAGACCCATAGTTGTTTGTACCCCAGGATAATGCTATATTTTCTTGTATCTGACAAGTTGCATATTTTTTTCCTAGAGACATTTTCCATTTATTTTTTTTTAAAATGTATATTTTATAGTTCTTTTATAGCAGTTATTTTAAGACTTTAAAAATGGATTTATCTTGGAACGAATTTCTCTTTTTTTTCCCCCCCAAAATTGATGTGTATTATGACTGAAATACTTAACTGTTCTTTTGAGGAGAAAAAAATCAGCTCATTTTCTTTGATGTCTGTATTGGAAAGTAAAGTATTACAGAATAAAAACCAAATGCTCAAATTTGGGACTTAGCCAATAGAAATAATATTTATCTAAGGCTAAAACGAAGTTATTAATGTAAATTCAGCGCTTTGGGGGTTTATATTGAAATAAGCATTTCTTTAAATACACTTTGAAAATGGAAAATGGCTTAGTGATATTTTGCATTTTGTTAGAGAATGTAAAATTTTTAGACTTTTGTCTCAGTTTCTATATACACAATGGAGAGGTAATTAAGATAATTATCTAAAAATTCAAGGTAAATAAGAGGAAACTGGGACATTTGGGGCATTTTTATCTTTGGCAGGGCAATAACTAAAGTATGTAAAATGTTTACTATTCCACTTTGTGAAGTTTTTACCCAATCCTGTTTTAAAAATTCACTCTATAAGTTCTCAGTGTCTTCCATTCTGAAGCAGAAAATTAATGGAAAATGTTCGTTAGATTTCTAAAATGAGATAATCCTGAACAAAAATACCAGTCATAGGGCACTAAAATGTATTGTGCATTTGTATAAATACAGACCTTTTAAAGCTTGACTTTTAAAAAAGGACTTTATACTATATCATTGTGTTTTTATTGGACTTGCAGTATTTTTATGGTCACCTTTATAAACTCGGCATAAGTGGAAGTTATTTGAAAAAGTTGTCTTCATCTGTGCACAGTAGAATGTGAAGTTCTTAAGAGAAGCCATGAGACTTTTACATCTACATTAAATATTAAAAAGTGCATTTATTTCTATGCTACCAGAAATTTTAATTTCCCTTTGGAATGTGAAAAAGATGTAGTATGCATGATAGCAGCTCTGGTTCCACCAGTGCCTGATGTTGAAAATAGTTCAAAAGTAAGTTTTAATAGTAATTATTTAGTATACTAACAATACTTTGTATCTGCACACTGTGTTAATAATGTATATATTAAGTTATATAAAGAAATTAGATATTTTGCTGCTATTCTTTCTACATATATTATTGGTTAGAGCAGTATACCATCAAATTGTTTGCTTTGATAGGGAAAAAACAAACTTTGCTTATTTAAGGGAAAAAAATGTTTTCTTTTATGGAATATATTAGAATGCAAAGTATACTAATATCCCAAAATGAAAAGAAACTGCTCTTTTTTTTTGAGGGGTCAGTCAGGGGGTTCATACTATAAAGAATTAGCTTTAAAATGATTCTCAATCATTTCAATTTCAGATACAAACCAATTTTAGAAACTTATCACTTACAAAAAAAGATGTAAGTTAACAAATGCTAAATTACTAGATAAATGATACGTTACTCTTACCACCATCCCTCAATTCAAAGGCAAAAGGTTAATATCTATAAATAAATTGCATATAGATGGATAAATCCATTTTCATTAAAGTGAAAGCTCAGTATTTGTAGAATTTATTCCTCTCCTGCCTTCAACCATCACATACAAGGTAATTTCCCATTCCTGGCCACCAGGCAGATCAGATCATTCTTGATCCAGTAGTGTCCTGGAGCTGGCTTGCACTGGCTTGCAAAAGCCAACTGTGCACATTTTTTCCTACTCTGTCTTCAGTGACACTGAGTTGGTATCTTGCAACTGTTAGGGGTGGAGGTAGTATTTTCACTATAAAAAATTGGCAAACAATAACATCAGGGTTCTTTATTCCTGGCGAGCCAATTGTTAAATGTATATTAGCACACCAGTGATTAGCCACACGAGAGGCCACATTCCCATGTCTACTCCTGCAGACAGAAAGGGAATATATTAAGGCAAATCCCCATCAACCCATCCAAAACTGTATTTGCCTCTTTCCCATGTGGAAATTATGGACCATGGTTGTCTCCTGACATATCTCTATTTACCTACATGTTTTGATCAGAGAAAATCTCTACAGGCTGTCACTGGCCCGCAAATCCATTAAAAACTATCTAGACAATCAGGAAATAAATAGAACTGTTGGAGGTCAAATTACAGCATGAGTTAAAATTTGTTGTAAAGTAGAAAGCTCAGCATCGCAACCAAGGGCTGTTTGTTTGACTTGTGGATTATATTTTAAGTTATTTTTAAAATGTTTATGGATTTCAGGTTATTTTTTAAAGTTTTTATTGCAAATGTATGGCTTTACAAGGTAAAAGAAAAATGAAATAAGACTCATACCTGTTAGTTCTTCTAGTAATGGACTTGGCCAAGGGGAATATAAACTACTATACAAATTATGGATTCAGAATTATTGCTGGACTTAGAGCTCTCACTTTTCTCCTTAATTTTGGTGTTCGCTAGGGTTTCTTCCAACAGCCAGTCTCTTGTCACTCTACACATTGCCTTGGACAATGTCACCATTCCTGTGGCTTTAGTTACCATGTCATACTAACAGCTCTCCAGTCTGCTTCCCCATTTCGGAGCACTGCACAGAATGTCATCTCTAAACATTCAGTTGTTTGCATGACATTTGTACTTGCATATCCCTTAGTGTAAACAGATAAAACAGAGGTTCTGCTGCCTGTCACAACAAAAACCAAACTCTTAAGGCTGTTGCTGGTGCAAAAGGAAAGAGGTTTTATTCAGGTGCCATGCAACCTGGGACAATAGTGGATTCCTATCTCAAAGGCCATCTCTTCCTGCCCCAGCCTGCCATTTTTCCAGGGATAGGGAGGGGATAGCTTTCTTTTTTTTTCTTTTTTTTTCCTATCCAATTATCTTTCTAGCTTCTGGCATGCATAGGGCCCTATCCATTCTCTTTCTAGCTTTTGGCAGGCTCAGTATAAGAACTTCCCCCTACCATCATCTTGACCAACGAGGGAGGCTCCCCAGCAATCAAACTGACTGTTCACAGCAACATCAGTACCTCGAATTCAGTATGTTCAAAAAAGGAACTTAGTGTCCTCCCAAACCCTTTCTTTCTGTTTCCAATCTCAGCAAATGACACAATCTCCTCCTACCGTGCCCACATATAGCCAGTCACCAAGTTCTGCCTATTTTACTTCCCAAAATGATAATATTTCTGCTTCTCAACATTCCCAATATTGCTAACTTAGTTTACGTCATCATCATCATCATCTCACCTCCATTGCTATCTCCGAATTCTAATTGGTCTCTGCCTTCATTTTTCTACTTTATAGTCAGAATAATCTTTCTAAAACATAACTTTGATCTCCTTGGCCTAAACCTTTTTGATGGCTTCTTTTTCCCATATGATAAAATACTTATTCCTTAACATTTAACAGGGCTTTTCATGAACTGGCTCTTGCATACTACGTCTACCTACACTACCACCCTCCGTTTCTAAGACTCAGCTACACTGAATTATTTTTTCAGTTCCATGAGAAAGAAATGCTTTCTGACTTTCTGAATTCTGTACCTGCTTTTCCTTCTTTTTTAACGCCTCCAACCAACAGGTCCACAGCTTTAATCCCTCATCATAGACATCACGTTCTCCAGGAAAATTTCTCCAAATCTTTCAGATCCAGATTTTGTACCTTGTGTACTATCAGAAAACCCTGTACTCCCTATCAGCATTTGTCATTCTATATTGCAATAGCTTAGTGTCAGATGCTTCTATTAGACACTAGACTTCAGAGGACGGAAAACATGACCATCTCTTACATAATGGCATTGCCTAATGCAATGCCTGGTATACGAGGTCTGTCCAGAAAAAGTCCAGCCATCATTAATACAACATTGTCAATATAACAAGAATGGTCTGCATGACATAGATGTAACCTGGCAGCCAAGGAGAGAGGACTGGAATGTACATGTGTAAACAATGACAACTTCCTGTACTAGTTGGTGGGAGTGGTAGACTGTTGAATGAGCATGTGTACTGTGTGGTCATCATGTTCAAAATGACTGAGTAGAGCAATGAATCTGCATCAAATTTTGTGTTAAGCATGAACATTCCTCCACAGAAACTCTACAGATGACTCAGAAGGCCGGAGCTATGGGCAAGTGGTGATTGGAACCTCCATCAATACAACACGCATGCTCATGCATCCTGTTTGGTACAGAGATTTTTGGCAAAACATCAAATTACCCAGGTGACTAAGCCCTTCTACAACCCAAATTTAGCAACCTGAGGCTTATGGCTTTTCCCCAAACTAAATCACCTTTAAAAGGGAAGAGAGTTCAGAAAAATACAACAGGGCAACTGATTGTGATTGGGAGAACTGTGTGAGGTCCCAAGGCACCTACTTTGAAGGGGACTGAGGCCTCATCGTCCTACATACAATGTTCCTTGTATCTTCTTCAATTAATGTCTCTATTTGTCATATTACATGGCTCAGTACCTTCTGGACAGACCTCTTGTAATATGTGCTCAAAATATCTCAAACAAATAAATCAACTTCAGATATTCATGCACTCCCTATTGTGCATTAAACAAAGAAGATCTAGAGTTGGTTGTACTTTAGAGTTCTGTGACTCCAAAATATACTTATTGTGCATAAAGAGAGTGGATAAATTTATATGTTATCATTTATAAAGTTGATTCACCTTTGATAGAAGAATATTGCTGTTATTTGCATACCTATACAGTATTGCTACTATACCCCTAACATTTTTAGGAGAAAATGTATTCTCTTTTGAGCATTTTCCAAATACTGTTGACATACTGTATTATTTTCAAGTGTGTAAATAATGATACGACATATCTACACATTTATGAAGTGATCACCTGTCTGGCACTATGCATAGTACAATATTATTGACTATATTCTCTGTGCTGTACTTTATATCTCCATGACTTTTTATAACTGGCAGTTTGTGCTTCTTAGTCCCTTCACCTTGATAAAATGTATTTTCAGTGCTTGATGAAATCACTATTTCTCCAAAAAAGGACATTTTAAA